AACTGCTGTCAAGTCCTGCCTCTCCACTAGAAGACACCCCTGTCTTGTTCATCTTTTCCAAACTCCGGAATACACCAGTCTTTAAGATAAGGGTTTTTTTTTGGATGCAGTCTAGACATACCCCTACTGTAGACATGCTGGGGGGCAGAGTGTTGCTCAGGGAGGGGGGTGCAGCATGCTGCCCCGGCCCCTCAAGGTGTGGAGGCAAGGCAGTGAGGTGGTTTGGCTCCTGTGAGGGGCTGCATGGAGAGACCGAGGTCTATTCTTATCAATCATCCATACGCCCAGGACTTGTTCACTGGTAAAGTACCAAGCTGGTTCTTTGAACAATGAAACATAAGCATGCCTATTGTCAATCTAAGACAATAGGAGTTCATTGTTTCCAGCTTTGTGCTCAGACCACCAAATACTAATAATTGTGTATGTTTACAGTATCTTTTTTTCCCCCATTCCAAAACAATCTCAGTATGTTCTTTGACCTCAGCAGGGTATTTCTGGCCCTCAGTCTGAATTCCATTGGTGTCAGTGATCCAATGCAGATAAACTCTCACATTATGAAAAGATCACACAACATGAACCAAGATATTCCTTGTTTTCCTTTGGCTTTAAATTGGTCCTCTTAAAAGTCCAAATTCTTCTTTCTTATATTATAAGAGGGGCTTAGACACATACTCAAGGGCAGAATTTCCCCTAAATAATTAAATCATTGCATGGGGTGATACTGTCACAAATACAGTTCTGTTGTATTTTAATGAGAAAGCAAAAGGAATGAATGAAGCACAGCTATCTTCTGCTGCTTGTTGGCTCACTTTCTGCTTGCATATTTAGTTTTAGAGTCAGTTTACAGCGAAGATGGTGAAAATCATGTAAAATCAACAGATGAAAATAAAGGTAATTTTCACACTCATTTTTTAACCACAACTTTTTATCATTTTGGAAATAAAGGTGGTGGGTTCATGTCTGATTGTGAGAGCAGGGGACTGGCAATTAGGCCCTCTAGGGTTCATTAATTTTCTCCTACCTCATCGTCATGTACAGGCAGTCCCCGAGTTACGCGGATCCGACTTATGTCGGATCCGCAGTTACGAACGGGGCCCTTCCTCTCCCTGGTCTCCAGCAGACCAGGGAGAGGAAGCAAAGCGGCGGAACATGCGGGCAGCGGACAAGGGGGCCCGCGTGTTCCGCTGCTTTGTTCCCCGTCCCCCTGGTCTGCAGACCAGGGAGACGGGGAGCAAAGCAGAGCAAAGCCGCGTGTTCCGCCGCTTTGCTCCCCGTCCCCCTGGTCTGCAGCGGCTGAATCTGGGCGCCAGTTCCGACTTACATACAGATTCAACTTAAGAACAAACCTACAGCCCCTATCTTGTACGTAAACTGGGGACGGCCTGTAATACTGAGGGAAGTCATTCATCTCTCTGTGTCTACGTTTTTTGTATTTCCCACTTGCAAAATGAGAGTAACATTGTTTATGTCCCAGGTGTGTTCTGAGTCTAATGAGTTGCTTCTGTCAATTAGTGGCATAGGAAAAAGGAAAGTTATTATTATTATTATTATTTACTGAGAAATGTATTTCAAACTACCAATATTATGTTTGAATCTTCCACAGAGAATCTTTCATAGGCTTCCTTTGCCTTCTATTTATCTTGGCTTTTATAATTTTTTCAGCTCTTGACATTTTAAACTGTATGAAATATGAAGAAAATGATCTTCCAGCTAATTATGATGCCAGATAGGCTTTTTTAAAAATTCTCCTTTTTAAAGTCATCATGGTATCAGGTGTTGTGTCATCTAGATGTATAGCTGTATACAGATACTTTTTTTTTCAGGGCTAAGTGTTTAAAAAAACTAGTTAAAAAGCAGTGCTTAAATGTAAATATTCTGGTGATATTATGGCTGAAAACTCATAGATGGATACTATTGTGTCCCCTCAATCCTCACTGCTCACGTCAATACTTGCCATGTAGGCATGTGAGCATTCAAAATGTGATTCCTGCTAACCTAATGGATAACATGGTTTTGGCTGGGCAAATTTACAGCAAAAATGTCTTATGACCTGTGTTGTTCAGGAGGTCAGATTAGATTGGTTCCTTCTGGCCATAAATTCTATGGATCCTATGACTGTTTCTTGCTCCAGAGAACTGATAGTCTAAATATGAGGCAAGAGACAGTAGATAGATACAACGCTCAGATCCTCTGGTCAGTATGAAAAGCCACAATCTCAGCACACCAGCTGGCTACCTGTGGTCAAGCTTTTTATAGGCATTGTGGCAAAAAAGCTTTAAAAAGGGATTTGGAGGAGGGTAACCAAGGTGGCTCTGCCGATGTTCGGTTGGAAGCTCCCCCCCCCCATATGCAGCGTGGGGGGACAGCACAATGGGACATTGTCGAAAATATAACAAAGGGGCATTGAAAGTTGGTATCACTGGCAGACCAGAGGTGAGGGTCACTGTCCCAGCAGCGTATGTGATAATAGGTACAGCTGGGAGAGCCCATGAAGGTGAAGACAAGTAGTGCAGTAGCGAAAGAGGAGCCAGTGGAGAGCGCAAAGTTCCAGGTGACGAACCAGAAGAACAGTTGCAGCGGCATTTCGAATGGATACAAGTGGGACAGTGGGATTAGTAAAGGCTGGTGAGCAGAAGGCTGCCATAGTCAAGACTTGAGAGGGTCTGGATGAGAGTTTTAGCAGCACAGATGGAGAGGCTCAAGATCTTGTTTAGGAAGAAGCAGTCGGATGTGGACAAAGCCTGGATGTGAAGATCTAGAGAGAGGACCTAGTGGCAGGTAAAGTTTACAGGCATGAGTGACAGTCAGGATGGTGGCGATGTCCATGGTGACTGAGAAAAGAGGAATTTTGGGAAGGCAGGTGAGGAAGGATTGAGAGGGGTTTTTTTAGCCGTGTTGATTTTATGCTTATAAAATGGCCATCCCCAACGAGATATTATAAAGACCGAGATTATCTTGGACAGAAGGATGGAGGTCTAGAGTGGAGAGGAAGCTCTGAGAGTCATCCGTCTAGAGATGATAGTTTTCTCCTGAGAAAAGATACAGAAGGAAATGAGAAAGGGACTGAGGAACTCCAAAAGAAAATTGAAGGGCAGGCATGATGAGGATCCTTTAAGTGAAATGCTGATGGGCTCATTAGGGAAGAAGGAGAAGAGTCAGGAGCGAACAGATTCATGAAAGCAAAGGGCAGGATTTCAAGAAGAAAATGTTGAATGCAGAACCAGGAGAACGAGCAGAGAGTATTGGTTCTGAGCTTTGGCTGGGAGAAGGCTATTGAAGATTGAGAGCTATTTTAGTGGTGGGCAAGAGATGACTGGGGAGGGTCAAGCCTGGAACAAGTGGAGAAGAGCTCTAGACAGCAATTGGTGGCACATTCAATGACCTTAGAGGGTACATGTGGCAGTAGTTGGAGAGGCCATTGGAGGTAAAATAGTGGGCTATTTGAAAACGCTAGCATCTAAAACATACTTGCACAGTGAAGGGAAGAAGACTAATGAGAGGGACTCAGAAGCAGGGGCCAGAGATCATAAGATGAAAGGAGGACACTGAGGTAAGCAGAGAGGTTAAAGAAATGCAGATGAGATGCTACTTTTTCAACGACTGGGGAAAACGAGAAAATAATGGGGAGAAAAAGGGCAGCAAAAGGGGGGAGAGACTAGCTAGAGTGGAACAGGCACATAGAGAACTCTGGTGCAGGGAACAGGGTGGTCACGTGGCCA